TATGTCATGGCTTATTCAGTCTTTATTCAAGGTATCCAGTATTTGAGCTCCAAATTCAAGAACACAAGCCTTGGGCTCTAATAATTGAGGGTACCAAGATGGAGAAGTTTTTCTCCCTCAGTTCTTTTTTGTGGAGAATGTAGCAGACTGTAGAGGAAACCATAGCAGTAAAAACTGTGGCTCTGCTTCAGGTGTGGGAGGGACTCCAAAGAGAAGAACAAGTGTTGCTAAACCATTTCATAATCTGTGTATTTTAAAATGTTAACTCCTAAAATTAGTTAGCTGCCATATGACAGCCTTTCTGCAATCGCATTCCCTCCAGTACTGTTGGAACTGAAATTCCAATCCCAGCATGTTTGCCTACTACTAACTGGCTGCCCTCTAGCAACAGCTCTCAGGGACAATAAACAGGAATCACACAGCTAAAATTTAAAAAAAATGACGTTATTTCTTAGTGAATGAATTGTATGGTGAACCATTGCCATTACACCTGGGAGGAAAAACGGTAGTGGGGTCCTCATGGAATGAACAATTGAGGAACTGTGTGTAGTTAGGGGAATTTAAAGTCTTAGACTTTGGGAAAATTTGCATTGAAGTAAGCTAATTTCTTATGTCTCCTCCCCTGCTCTTCCCAGAAGATGGGGAAAGTACAGAATATATTGCATTTTGTTGTCCAGTCAGGATTTCAGAAAGGGCGATCAGAAATAAATAAAATGAAAGTTGCCATAAAGAGGTCTGAAAAATATTAGGGTAATACTTCAGGTCACTAAAACTGGTTAGTGCTGCAAAAACAGCAAAATGAGAGGGGTCCTGGTGTGAATCACCCTTAAAGGGGAACATCTGAGAGAAGAACCTTTAAAAATGCATATTTAGATTGGTTTATCATGGGATTCTACCAGCATTGGGAACAAAGGCTCGTGCGCCCCACTCTTTTTGCTGAGATAGCACAAATTCTTCCCAACAGTTATTGCAATGCAGAGCTGAGGTTGCCTTTTCTTTCAGCCTTTCTTAGCTTCTGTGAATGTTTCTTGATTTTAGGCAGGTGGAAATTCTGGTCCTGCTAAACTATAGTGAAAAGTTTTACTAGTATTGCTTACCCTGAAAGGGAACAGTATGATTGGGGAAGAGGGCTGTGTGTGTGTGTTGTATAAATGGATGTTCTGGCACAAAGTGCCCCTGCTTGGTTGCTGTACTTGTTGGGAAGTACTAAATGATGATGGAAACCTCTATCTTTCTAACCAACCAATCAGTGCTGTGCTATACAGGCCGGTTAGCCTGCTTGGCTTGTTCTTTCTTTTACATGCCAAAACTGTTGGCCAGGAGCTTTTAATGTTTTTTAAAGAATGAAGAACCTAGGAATCTTGGTTTAGACATGAAATCAAACAAAGATACAGACAGTGGCTTTGTGGTTTGTTGAGCTGATGTGGCTGGCAGGAAGATCCAAAAAGAGCAATCTACTTGCTCCAGCTGAATGCTATAATATACATTATTTGCAGAATTAAAATTTGTGTGAGGGAAAAACTTGGCTTTGATACTACTGTTTAGTTCTAGAGGTCAAAATTTACAAACTTGTCCTATATGTTACAATTGTAAATGCAGAATTTTTTCCTTTTCCAGAATTGCTCGCTTCTCAAATGTTTATCATCTCTCCATCCACTTCTCCAAGAACTTTGGTGCTGACACAACAAAAATCTTTTACATAGGCCTAAGGGGAGAATGGACAGAAGTAAGTGTGGGGATGGAGATAACAGATGAAAACACTAAATAAATAGATGTGGGGTATAGAAGCTTTTGTGACCTCAAAATGTGCTTATTAACAGATTCATGAGCAGGAGTCTCTGAGACTCTGGCATAATGTTCATACTTAAGAGAAAGTAACTGTTGTTTTATAATGTCTTTCCAGGCTAACCTTGCTCATTATGGCATCCTTCAGTTACCTTGGACTGCATGCCTTTAAAATTTGTGTTGGTTGGGAGTTCTGGGAGAGGTTGTCTTAACAAATCCGGATCATGTCAGCTAACCCCATATTCCACCCTTAAACTTCCTGTTTCTATTTGGGTTGGATGATGAGTCTGAAGGAAACCTCTTTGAAAGTTACTTTAAGTATCCCCCCTCCCAGGTTTTTGCCTGTCTGAATCACTGCTAGTCAAATATAGCACATCATAAAAGGCCTGTTTTCTTCATTAAATAAACTTCCCTGCTACCTCACTGGTTGGTTATTATCATGCCTCAAGAAATAACTGAATGAGTGTTATTTTAAGCCTAAATATGTCCTTCCAACTGCCACATTCATGCACTTACAAATGGATTGGCATGAAGGTGCCTCAAGGTTTCCTGTTTTTAGATAAACCAGGATTTATTTTTCTATGTTGAGCTGGGAGATAAAGTGAAGAGTTTGAAGTAATTGTTAGAGTCTTCTGTTTTTCCCCAGCCTTGTCCCTTTTGCTGTTTCCTAGCCCAGTGCGTTTCAAGCTAAGCAGCCATTGGCAGGTGTTGACTCAAATTCTGCCATGTTGAGTAAATGTGTGAAAACATTTCAGTCAAGGAAGGTCCCCTTCTGTCCTTGGAACGGCTCTTCTGATTTCACTGGAAATGTTCCAAGGTCAGAATGATTTATTCTGACTCATCAGAAGTGTTTTGTTCTTGAAAAGGATTTCTCTCCTGGGAAGACCAAGGTCACAATAGCTCATTTAGGCCCAGAATATGTTCAAAATGTGATCTTTGGGGATTGCACATCCCTAATTTTTAACCTGTGCAGACAACGCAGTGTGAAGGAATGACGTGTTATGAACTTAGGTGGGAGGGTTTAAAAGAGACAAGTTGCAAATTTCTCAAAAGAAGTACAAGTTATTCAGAATGTACGTGTACTGTAGTTTGTAAGAGTAGATGTAATGGTGGTTGGTCTCAGTGGAGAGGAAAATCAAATGATTGCTCTAGCTGTCCAAGATATACAAAGAGACCTCTGAAGAAATGTTCAAATTGTTTCTCTGCAGCCTCATCGACATGAAGTGACCATCTGTAACTATGAAGCAGCAGCAAACCCGGCCGATCACAAACTTGATCAGATCACACCACAGACACACTTCATTTCCTAACTGGGAAGGCTTGTGCAACGACAGAACACTGAGTAGACTTACAAAGATGTTGAACAGTTGAAGCTAAAAAGTGGCAGTTACTCTTTTTGCGATGTATGCATGTGGTTTTGGAAGCATTTGGTATCAAATGCTTGGCAGATAGGTACAAAATTACACTGTTGCGAAGGTCAATTGTTAAAGTTGATCTTAAAATCATTAACTCTTCCTGGACCTTCACCATGACTGTCTTGGCAATATCTTCTTGGCCCAGAATCTTTCTAAGATAGTGATTTTTTTGTTTAGTTGCTGCTACTTTTCTTGCTGGCATACATAAAGAGTGAGACTATCGGGTGGTGGCACAATCTCTAGGACTTTCTTCTGGTTTTTGAATATAGTTTTGATATACGAAAATTAAATGTTCCTGGTGGGATCTTGGGTAATTTCCAGTGTATGTGATTTCTCCAGCATAATAGTGACTGGGCTGGCACCAAAGTGCTACAGGAATTGCCATAAGCATAATTTAATAGCTATCTTGCTGATGCATAACAATGTTAGTTGTCAGTTTAAAACCTAGAAAATATAAAGATCTATGAATTTATCTTGTCTAAAATGCAACTTTTTGTAAATAAACATGGCAAAGAATCCCTTGAGTACTTCTTTAAAAAAATCTGAGCTGAACCTTTTTTTAATGTTGAGATACATCATTGGTACAAAATAAATGTGGTAAAGTCAAAATGGTATAAAAAATAAAATTTTTGTGGAATGCTCCCAAGAATAGGAGCATTTTGATCTGTATCTCTAATTTTGTTCATTAATAAAATCAGATTTGTGGACTATCAGGAGCTGTCCTTTCAAGACCAACCCCTAAACTATTAGGTAAATCTATTTAAATGGGTGGCCTTGCATATTGCTTAGCATGTGATTTGATTGGTTTCTGTCTATCATGTTCTGTTAATCTAGTTCAGAGTTTTTCAACAAACTAGTTGATAACTGTGCCCACTGTGCCCACTAAATTACCAGTATTAGTATTTCTGTTCTTGCCTTACCCCTTATGTTAGAGTGGTAACACTTTATAATATCCTAGAGCTGATTTCCAAAGTTCCCAAAGTATTAACTATCTCATTTTGTATTTTTAAAAGAAATACTTGCTGCAGTCTTCTTCGGCTAATGTTGGAAGTGGTTTATGAATATATACTTAATTGTTTTCATTTTAAACAAAGATGAAAAATCTTCCATGAAATTTAGCCAAGAGAGATAGAAGCTTCCTGCTACACTCTTTTCTTTGAATTGTCCATATAGAGCAGGGTATTTCAACCTTGGCAACTTTTAAGACTTTAAGGAGTTAAAAGTCCACCCTTTTAAAGTTGCAGAACCAAAGGCTGAACCCTACCTGCCAACTTCATCAGTTATTAGACAAATGCCACCAGGGATTGATTACAAAACAGGACATCCTGTTCTCCCCGCAGTGCACCAGTTATGTGGATGTTGTGATTAAGTCTGACAAACATAGCCAGCGGCGTTTCCAGTTGAATTGCAAAAATAACAACCATGCCAACCTTGCTGTTTACCAGCCAGTGATGAACACTCAGTCAAAACCAGTTATTAACCTCTACGATCCATTACCAACTCGGGGGAGAGGGGGGAGAATCCCAAACTCTGTCTTTCGTGATGACAGTGGGACACGATACTGAAAGAACGAAGGCATCCCAAAAACGGAAGAAACCCTGGAGCAGGTAGACAGGAGGAAGAGTACGGCCACAGAAAAGCGGCCGCAAGATGGCCGCGCCCCTAGCGGCCCCTTTTTCCGCTTTCCGTACAAGCCTAGGGGAGAGCGTCACAATCTCTTTCCGGCCGGGCTGCTAAGGTCCCCGCCCACTTGTCTAGCGCGGGATTTGGTGGTGGCGGAAGTTCCGGAGGGAGGGGGGGGGGGGGGGAAGAGAGGAAAAGAAGGAGCGCGCGAGAGCTCGAGCCTGACTGAGTCCCTCAGTCAGAAAGCCGGGTCGGAAGAGTCGGAGCCAAGAAGAAAAGAGGTGAGGGAGGGCGGGGAAGGTCAAGGCGGGA